ATATACAGTTATACGGACATCGGTTAAATTATTACAACACAAGGAGTCCTTGTGGGCATTTCTGATCATTGCAGGGGGTTATTAATTGCTGGGCTATGGCAACAATAATCCCAGGCACCAGTTTCCAGGAGGCAGCATGGAAATCCTCCCAGAGTTCAATTACAGAAATTAGCTAGTATTATTTAATCCTCATAACCCCTGTGAAGTAGGCAGGGTAAGCATCTTTATTTTACTGATTAGGTTCTGGAGGCTCAGAGAGGCTGACTTGCTGAGGTCATTTAAGTGGGAAGTATGGGGACACGATCCAAAGCAGATCTTGTCACTTCAGGTGTGAGGCTCTTCACACTTTGCCACAGCCGTCTGGCCCCAGGTTGGCCACCAACTTGTGTCATTTCAGGCAACCCAGTGTATCAGTTGCCTCATCTTCTGAATGGAGATAAAATGCTTATCTGGCCTTCCTCCTAAGGAGAACCAAGGGGGTGGAAGCCATATAAAGATATTTTTGTAAAGAACAAAATGGCAAGCATATGAAAGGGAGTATTTTTGGTGGGAAAATATAAGTTGGATCGAGGAAACATTTTTCAAAGCTGACAAGGTTCTAAAACTTTTCTCTCCTCACGATTCATCCCCTGTTCCTCCTCAGCATTTGGAGTGGCAGAGCCTCTGCCCACCTGAGGGTCAGCTCAGCTGGCTTCACCTACAATTGTTTTGCCTGGGTCTGCTGATCAGTAAATGGGCTCCTCCTGGCAGGGGGTGGTGGCTACCTCCCAGAGGATCCTGTGGACTTCAGGGCTGCTCACATTCTTCACCTGGTATCATTTGCTGTGAATAGGATAGGAAGTCAACTGCTGGCTTCTAAGCTAACAGCCATTAAAAAAAATAATGGTTCCTCAGCCAGGAGCAATGGCCACACCTGGAATCCCAGAACTTTGGTAGGCCAAGGCAGGTGGATCACCTGAGGTCAGGAGTTCAAGATCAGCCTGACCAACATGGCGAAACCCCATCTCTACTAAAAATACAAAAATTAGCCAAGCATGGTAGTGTGTGCCTGTAATCCCAGCTGCTTGGGAGGCTGAGGCAGGAGAATTGCCTGAACCCAGGAGGCAGAGGTTGCAGTGAGCCTGTATCACGCCACTCACTCTAGCCTGGTGACAAAAGCGAGACTCTGTCTCGATAAAATAAGATGATAATTGTTCCTGGACCTTAGATGGTACCCTCTAATGGGAAAAAAAAAAAAAAAAAAAAAAAAAACCCTCTAAACAAAGAGCTATTCTGGACTGAACTTATGAAACTTCTAGATGAGAAAAGTGGTTCCTCACCCTTAAGTGGTATCCTCTATCGGGGGGAAAAAAAAAAAAAGCTCTAAAAAATGAGCTGTTCTGGATTGAAACCTATGAAATGGTTTCAATTGTATGAAATTGTAAATGAGAATAGTAAGGACCATAAGCTTCAACGCAGTCATCTATGATCACAGTCCCCCAAAACCTTCTGTAGCCCCAACTTGATGTATCTAAGGGGGCATCAAAATTTATTAGAAAGCTCAGTAAAAATGGAAAATTAAAACTCAGAGCTAAGTAAAAAGGTAGATTGGCAGCATCCTTCTGCATTCATGAATTATAATCTGGGGACATCTTGGTGTTTTCTTTTCTGCACTGTTCAGATATATATATGGCAGGCCAAAGGATGTGCAACTTCGTAAAGAAATTGTAAAACACCAGGGTTGCCTTTAAAAAACACTCTAAAAGAAACTCAAACTTATGGCAATATGCACAATGGTATCACTCCTTACTCCTGGCCCAAAACACTTCAGGAAACCCACTAGATTTCATGATATGCCACAAGATAGGAATGGAATTGGTCCCTTCAGAGAAACCCCAGGACCAGACAAAATGATGTGCAACAGGGAAGACCTCTATGAAGCTTCCTTTCTTCAGCCCAGTGCTGCTAACCCTCCAGGACAGCCTCCTGTGCTGCCACCACCAGTCCCTGGTAGGACTCCTCCATAAACTGAGTCCTGAACAAACTCAATAACACCATCCCATGTTTAAAGCACTGCAATTCCTCCTTACAATGCTAATGTGTTCATAATAATTTACCCCATTCTTCTGGCAGGAGCAAAACTGAAGCAACTTGAAATGCCATCAGCAAAAAGTTATTTATTTCCCATTCCTGAGCATCAGAGAAAACAGGGTTTCATTGGCTGGATCTGCGTTCAATAGCTTTCTGGTTTCAATTTAAACTTCAAGTCTCCAAGGAAAAAACTGGCATTCTGGGAGGTCCAGGACCAGCCAAGTTTCAGTGTCTCCACAGGAACCCAGAAAGGATGCCCCATCCAGCTAGCTATTTCTCGTCTTCTATATAATATTTTGCATATTATATAGAAGCTTTGAAGCAGAGATTGAAGTACAACTAAAAATAATGACCACATTGGGACAACTCTCCTCTCCTAGAGGTACACTTTTGTGCCAGAGAAGTATGGATTCATCCCCTCACAGAATTCAAAGTTAACAGAAGAAATGGAACAGGATCTCCAGGGAAAAGTACCTACCTATTTATTTCTTCTTCAGCAAAATCCTGCCTCCTGCCTCTCCCCACTCACCATTTTCAACTAAATCCTACAACACCACCAAGCACTGTTTCCTACTCCCCCAGCCCTCATTTAGGTCAGGTGATTTGCAAAGTAGTTCACTGGGAGTAAAGCAAGTCCATGACCAGAAGCCCTTGCACCAGCGGTTGTTGGGCTAACTCAAAGATACCTCTAGGTTTCCCTGTGTGATGTCCAGGGCAAGGCCTTCCAGCAGAGCCTTCCCATGTAACATTCTGATGTGAATATACAAAAGATCAAATTACAGCCCTTCACTTGCCTAGCCCTTTCATGAACATATAAGGCAGTTGATATTTTCTCCCAAGCTAGATGTGGCCCCCTTCTTAACCGACACTGCTGCCTCTTAGACATTCCACCTTATGTTCACTGCAAACCATCCCCTCCCCGACCTCCAGTTTGTTTATTCCAGAGATACATCCATTTTCCCAGCTAAGAGAGACAAGTCCGTTTCCCTCTTCTGGCTCCCGTTGGCGCATTCACTCACTACCTCCTCCCCCAGCTCAGCTCAGGTTACTGTAGTGGCCAGCAACTCCCACAGCCCAAGTCTGACACCAGCTCAACTTCCCAAGACCAATCGTTTGTTTTTGTTTTGGTTTTTTTCCCTTAATGGGGTAGGAGAGATTGTGTGCCAAGCAACAACCCTCCGGGTACCTGGTCTCCATATCTTTTGCAGCTAGATTCCCTGCAGCCTGCAAATACTCTGTTTAACCACATTTGATTTATTTCTTCCTCCTCTTCCGACTTTCTCCAAAACACTGTCTTAACCTTTCTGGCAACAAGCAATGAAATTAAGCACAGGTGAAAACACAGCACCTTCACCTTCGCTCTGAAACCTGGGAATCCCAGAGCAATAGAGCTCACGCCTCCCTCAGGGAGGTTAAGGATGGTAGAAGCCACAGAAATCAGGAAAAAGGGGGAGTGACCTGGGATTGTAAACTGGCTACATCTTAAAGTACTACAAACTTTCTCCTCCCTCACACGCCCCTGGCCGGTTGGCTCCGCCTTCCCATCCCAGCTGGGGTGTGCAAAGGAAACTCTCCCCCCAACGCCCAGGTCTGCTCCAGTGTTGTAGATGTGGCCTGCATTCAACACCACCCTTCCTCTCCAAAAGCCTCTTCTCTACCCCATCCCCTCTTTACCACAACACACACATGCTTTGTACAGGATGATGAGTTTGGATGGGGCACAGGAGATACACCTATTTACTAAAGGAGGGTAAGAGATGGTGCCAAATTGCCAGATAGTTTTGGTGACAGCACAGAAACTTCAAGAAATTAGTTTTTAGTATAAATATACAGAAAAAGAAGAAAAACAGGATAAAGAGTGAAGGAATGAAAAGAAAAAGAAGGAAAAAGATGTCAAAGAAAAGCAAGTAATGACAGTATTTCCTTAGAAACCTTGTGGACTCCAACTAAACTTTAAGGTTTGAAAGGTGTGGATATTTGGCAGGAGGTAGCGGGAGTGTAGGGGCTGAAAGGGAAAGGTCTCTGCTGTAGAAGTCCAGAATAAACTGGCCTTTTGGAGGAGAGTTTCTGCAGGGATAAAGAGACACACAAATTGCCCTTTTAGCGTTAGATGTCAACCGTGAGATTATCAGGACAGTTTATTTGAAACGGAAACGAATCGGAAATCCTTCCCACAACAGTCCTTTTAGACAGATACACACCCTGAGAATCCAACACAGACGCACATAAAGAATAAATGCAGCATCAGGGGGCAATAAGAACTCCCCTTCCACACTCCCAGTACCTCTAGCCTCATCTCCTATTTCCAATTGTACAACTTTCAATCTCCAATGAAAATATTTCCAGTTGGATCCGATTTCAGACTTGTAGTAAGCGGTCTGGATGGGGGGGCGGGGGAAATAGGTGCTGTACTGTGCAGGGGAGGGGGGCTGGAAGACAGTATTTCGGCAGTTAACTTATTTTTTTAGAACCAGCATGCTCTACCGATCAGAAATTGCCATTACCCAACAATGCTTCCATCACAAACAGACACTGAAAACAGCATCCCCGTTATCACCATCTTGCTAAAGATCTGCCCTGTCCAGTTTACCTGACTTTGTCCCTGCGGAACTTCTCAGACAGTATTTTGGTCAAAGAGATAATGGTTTGGAAGACAAAAACAATAAATCGATACCGAAGGCTTCCCTTTCCGGAGTGATTTCCCACTGGAAACCACCGAACGGGGAAGCCTGCCGTTCATTCCCAAGCCCACGGCTCCTCTAGAAACGCACACAATGCGTGCTTTCAAAAAGGCATTCGTCTGCTTTTAAGGGAATTCCTATCTTTTCAGAGTCCCAAAACCAGAGAGCATAAGAAAGAGACTCAAATCCATTGATTAAGATTTTTAAGAAAAAGACTAACACACAGCCACAACACAAGCACACACCAACCTTCGCCGGCTGGACCACTTCTTGCCTGTTCTTCTTTCTATTAACGACACGTTAGATTCTGATACATTCCCCCCCAAAAAAATCCAACTAGGTTACAATGTAGCTCTCTAGCTCCACTTAACCTGCAAGTTACAAAGAGAGCAGGGAATGAAGCATGAGGTGGAGTCTGGGAGCTTATCCTGCCTTCCCACCCCTTTCCTTACCCCCTCCCCCTCCCGAGTCCACTCCACCAACGCCAAACCCGCCAGCCCCGCCAGCCGGCGGCAGGACCGAGGGAGGGTGCAAAAGGCGAGGGGGGGAGGGGGGGAGATCAGATTAGGCGAAACTCAATAAGCTCCCAGCCTCCAGCCCAAAGCTTCCACCATCGCTGCCACCAACAAGCCACTCCAATTCAGCCAGCCTCACCGCCCACCCGCCGGCCCGCCGGAATCGCGCCCATCTCCGGCCACCTCGCCCGGACCGGCATCCCGCCCCCTCGGCCCGGTCTCCCCCTTCCCGCCCGGTGCAAAGTCAAAGACCCAGCAAGGCGACGTGAACTTTTGCATGCAGGGCACACACGTCGCCCCTGGTTCCGGGCTTACGGGGGCCCGCGGCGCGGAGGGAGGCTGGGCGCCTGGGCTCCCGGGCCAAGGTCGCCGCTCGTGCTCACCCATGTCCCGGCGGCTCCGGCTCCGCTGGCCCCGGCGCTCGCTCAGATCCCGGCTCCCGTCGCTCGCCCGAGCCCCCAAAGGTGCTGCTGCGGCAACTCCATGGCGATGAGCATCTGTCAAACGGCGAGCCGCGGGTTGGCCGCCCTAGCTCGGGGGGCGCCGGGGCCCCCGGGCGCGCGGAGGCGGCGGCGAGCGGCGGGCGCCCCGGCCGGCCCCGCGCTTCCCGCCCGACTCGGCCGCCTCCGCCGCGCCACCGATTTATGGAGAGAGATATCAAGGGGGAAAATGGCGTCTCCGGAGCCCGAGGAGTCCTGGAGTAATCACATTCACACACACACGCCCGCACGCACACACACTCGCACACACTCGCACACAGGCGCGCGGCGAGCCCTGCTAATTTTAGCAGGAGCCAAAAAAAATTATATATATAAATATATATATATATCCCCGTCTCTCCGATCAATGCTTTTTTTTTTTTTTTTTGTTTTTTTTTTTTTTTTTGCTTTTTTTTTTTTTTTTTCTGCTCTTTTTCAAAGGATGGATTGGAGCGTTAAAAATGTTGCAGGGTTTGAGCTTGCAGGAGGCGGCGCGCGGAGGGCTAGGGCGCTTTTGCTGAGCTGTGCAGTTCGGTCCGCGGCGCCCGGCGGCCCTGCCCGCCCGCTCGTCCGCCCGCGGTCGCTAGTGTTGCCGCCGCCGCCGCCGCCGCCGCCGCTCCATGGCCGCGCCCGCCCCGCGCCCCCGCCGCGTCCCGTCACCGCCCGCCCGCGTCCCCGGCGAGCGCTGGAGTGGGGTCGGGCCCGTGTGCCTGCCTCCCGCGCCCTCTCCGAGTCCCGGACTCCTAGTGAAAGGAAAGGGGAGGGCGCGGGAGGGAGGAGGATCGGAGCGGCAGCGCGGCCCAGCCGAGCGGGGACCGCCACCCCGCGCTCTTCCTCGCAGGGGGCGCCGGTGCCCACGCTGCTCGCCCGGAGGGCCCGGGGCCGCTTCCCAGACCGGAGCCGGGGGAGGCGCAGCCAGTAGCCAGCCGCGAGCGACCTCTCTCCCCACCCGCCCCCCTGCCCCGGTGAATTTCTGTCAATTGAAGGGAGCACGGCTCTTCCCCGGGGAAAAGGAGAACAGTTTGTGGACGGCGATCCGGGACCCCTCGCCGCCCCCACCCCGCGCCCCTCCCGCTCCCCGGAGCCCTCGCGGCCCAGTGGCTCCTGCGCGCCGGAGTCCGCCGCGAAGACTGAGCGGCAGCGGGGAGCGCGGCGGGCTCGGCGCGGGTTCCTGGGCTCAACACTGCCACTATCTGACACAACAGGAGCAGTGTCGGGGGGGACGGCGCCCAGGCGTGAGCTGTGATAGGCTCTCGAAACTGGGCGCATTTTTTTTTTTAACCTGGTAATTATATTTCACTTTCAGGGGTTTATTTTTTTATTTTATTTTATATTTCTTTTATTAAGCGACTTGTATGCATTCATATCTCATGTACATTTTCTGGTTATTCACGAGAATTGGACACTTGAAGGGAAGGACACTGAGACATGACAAACGCACAGTGGCAGGCAGTTGTCTTCACGGTGATGGGAATAAAAAAAGTGGAATATCTTCAGTTCTTACAAAATATGGTGGCATTTTTAATCCCTGAGTGTTTGTGTTTGGCCTACAAAGGGGGTCTTTCCAGGGAAACTGGGGAATGGAACCCTTCAGATATATGTCTATGTTATAAAACAATATAGGTTAGATACGAATTCGGGAAGGTCTGCAAATAGTTCCATTTAAAGATCTTGGGATAAAGTTGACTCAGAACTGGGATTCTGAGAGGACTCCCATCATGTTCTTCATGAGAGCTGTGGGCTATTTGGACTGACGAATGATTTGGAGGTGAGTCGGAGGCATTCCCTCACCGACACCATCAGTGGCTGCCTCCCTGCCACTGGCTGCTGGTTTGAGTTCCTTCACAGAACTTCTTCGTCAAGCTTTTCACAGGAACACTGCGGTGAAGTAGAGTGAAAGAAACTGGGAGACTGGGGTGCACCCCTTCCAGCGTCAATCCCATTCCAATTCGTATCCGGATGGAGGTTCAGTCTGACTCAGAACGGATAGTCCAGCCTTTTACTGATCTAAGTGCTCTGTCCTCTATTTTTCAGAGGAATGTTCTGACTGGCCACAAACTTTTCATCTGTCACTGCAAGACTTCCCATGGAGCCATGTTTCAATAGGTCTTCTACTATGCTTTATTACTGCATCATTGTTATTGCTGAAAAAAAATCATTCTTATTGCTGAAAGTTAGGAAAAAATAGCAGGGCCTATGAGCTGATGACAGAAGTAGAGATCAAAGCACAGAATACAATGTCAAAACAACTCTTCCTATAATCAAATCACCTTTCCCATTTGCTTGTACACCCAGATTTCTGAAATCCTACACCAAAGTCCACAGAGAACTAAGATAGCAATGTGGCCTATTCCCCACCTTTTTCCAATGGAGAAAGTAGCCCCAGAAATCAGAAAGGTTTTTCCACAAGCAAATAGCTATCTAATGTCATCCAAACCACAACTAAAGCTAATTGTCCCAGTCCTTTCCTTTCTGTAAGGGATATAGGCATATTTACAGGGTCTTCCTTCCGGTGGTGTTGTGTGGCTTAGAGGAGTAGCTAAGTACCTTATTAAAATTCACTACAATAAATGTTAAGTCTGTAGAATTATAGTGCAGCAGAAGTTTACCTATGAGATCATCTATTAGAATCCCATCTTTTTAAAACTGAGGAAATAATGAACTACCCCAAGCCACTATGTTAATTCAAAGCCAGGAATAGATGCCATATTCCTTGACTTCTTCTCCAATGTTCCTTCCTTATATGTAGCCCATCTTTGAACCATGAAAGGTGAGAGGAGAGAAAGAAAAGGAGGAATAGTCTCACTCTCTTACATATATATGAAAAAATATATATGCCTCTGTGTGGGGGGCATATATATGTTTGTGTGTGTGTGTATATACAGTCACACACCCATAATAATGTTTCAGTGAACAACAGACCACATATACAACTGTGGTCCCATAGAATATAATACTGTATTCTTGCTGTACCTTTTCTATGTTTAGATACACAAATACTTACCATCGTATTACATTTGCCCATAGTATTCAGTACAGTAATATTCTGTACAGGTTTGTAGCCTAGAAGCAATAGGCTACACCACATAGCCTGGGTTTGCTGTATCCTGTATCATCTAGATTTGTGTAAGTGCCCTCCATGATGTTTGCACAAAGTCACCTACCAATATATTTCATTGAACACATTCCCCATGGCTAATTGAAGCATGATTGGCGATATGTGTGTGTGTGTGTGTGTGTGTGTGTGTGTGTGTGTGTGTATATATATATACTGTATATATATATACACTATATATATGCCATATATATATACACTATATATATACACTATGTATATATACACCATATACGCTATATATATACACTATATATATATACACCATTTACACTATATATATACACTATATATATATACACCATACACACTGTATATACATACACTATATATATATACACCATACACACTGTATATATATACACTATATACACCATATACACTATATATATATATACACCATATACACTATATATACACTATATATATATACAACATATACACTATATATATATACACACCATATACACTATATATATACACTATATATACACCATACACACTGTATATATATACACTATATATATGTATACACCATACACACTGTATATATATACACTATATATATATATACCATATACACTATATATATATACACACCATATACACTATATATATACACTCTATATATATACACACACACACATATATACATACAAATACATATAGATATGTAAAATAGATACAATAAATATTTTATACATATTAATATTTTTAGTATATAACTACATAATATATTACAAATATGACCATTTTAATATATAATTTAAATTTTCATTAAAATTATTTAATTTCATTCAAATTATTTAATAAATTTAATTTCAATTTTAATATATAATAAGAAAGGATTTCTAAAAACTAAAACCCCATCAACTGAACTATACATCTGTAAATAGAATGGGAACATCACAGGAATTCTTCTCATCTTCTTTCATAATTAGACCAGTTTGTGATCATCTGACAAACAAACCTTGACACACAGAAAGTCTGAACTTGGTAAAACTCTAGCCTGAAAATAGAGTCAGGCAATTTTAAAATACCTATTTCCAGGGCCCAGGAACCCTTTAAAAAATCAAAAGGCCATCTGAGCACTTAATGAGAATGCACAGGACATATGTCTCTTAGTCCTACACAATCTCCAATGTCACAATCATGCCAGCACTCAGCAAATAATTATGGAGCATGGTGATGGGCCAGATACTTTAGTAGCAACTAGAGATATAAATGTGACCAAGACGTAGTCCCCATCCTCACAGAATTCATGACCTAGTGGGA